TTGGTTGGGGTTTCTTGATGATGTCCATGGATTAATGGTTAATACTTGATTTTATTGCTTAAAATGTTGTTTTTGGATATTGCTTATGCTTTATAACGGTTCGAACTCATGTAATTTGGATTGGATTCATGATTGGAAGGAATTTTCAAGGTTTTTTTTCCAGGGTTTCTGGTTGTAAATGCGTCGGGCGCAGTTCTTGGCTCGGGCGTGAATTCATCAGAGACCATCGTTGCCAAATCACGCCGGGTCGCGCCAAGCGCAATTTGAAATGAGAATCCCTGGGTGAATCATGTCGGGCATGGGGAGAACCATGCCAGGCGCACTATCAGATGTGGTCCTTGTGTTTTGGTTACTGATATTGCGCCGGACGCATAATAATTGCGCCGGGCGCATAATAATTGCGCCGGGCGCAATGACCTCTGTAGGTCTCTGTTTCAGTTTTGCGCCGGGCGGGATATTAAGGCGCCGACCGTGAGTATGTTGGTCTTGAAGTATTCATAAAAGTTGTAGCCTTGGATGTTATCTTTCCAATGGCATTGGAATCACCCAAAAAGGAGGTCTAGAACTCCAGATATGACTATTTTAGTGAATAGGAGTCAAGCTGCCAGCATTGGTTATAGCTGTTGCGATTTTTAGAATTTTTAACAAAGTAGAAGATGGAATTAGGAATTTATGTCTTCATAAGAGTTGTAGGAAATCTTATTATCTTTCATATGAGATAAAGATGAGCATGATAGGAGTAGTATAACTCTTAATATGCTGTTTTATGTGAAGATTGCCATTTCACAAAGGGTGATTTGTTTAAGTTGATATTTGTTTTGGGTGCTTAATTATTTGTGTTGTTATATTGAGTAATTTGGAATGGTTATGAAAAAGTTTGTATGTAATTATGGAATATGCTATGTGTGTTTGGTTTGGAAAGCTAATAGGACTTAGAGGAGTAAGGTTATGGTATGGATTGGGAGATCTCTTGGTGAGATCAGAATATAATCTTTGGGAAAATATGGAATTTGGGAGTCCCATGGTGAGGATTCCAATATGGAACTTTTCCAAAGATTATATAATAAACCACTTTAGATGTTAGGTGGATTCTGAAGTACTCCTCTAAGTATTCTATTTGCTACCGGTATAGGGACAAGGTCGAGTCATACCGATGGATGAAGTGGTCGCGATCACCAGGGTTACGTGACGACGTAACCCAACTGTATATTTTCCATGAGAGGCTAGGTGTGTGACATGGGCAGGTGATATGTTCACGAATTCAACACTTGGTTTGGATGTGTTGAGGTCAACATTTGGTTTGGATGTGTTGGCTACTTCATGGGATTATACAGTGGTGTGACTTTGGTTTGGATGTTGAATATGTATGCATTTGGTATGGATTGTATACATTGGTTATGGATTCTTTATTATCATAGAATATGTATGCATTGACATGGATGTGTATACTTGGATTTTGGATTGGTTTATATTTGGCATGGAAATGACTTATTATAATGTTGTCATTCCCTTGGTATGGATACATATTGTTGATGAATATCTAGTTTAATGATATTTTATTTTATTGTACTATAGTTGATTTTATACGTGCTAACCCTTATATTTCCATGATGTGGACTGTGATGATCTCACTATGTGGGGGAGCTGATCAGGTGTGAGGCTTTGGGATGGCAAGGAGTCTTTTGGGTAGCTACTTTGAGAAGTGGCTAGACTTAGAGCTTGACCAGCACCTAGGGTGTCTTATTTTGATACTTTCATGATGTTGTAATTGTATTATCTTTTTGAATGACTGTATAACCTTGTTGAGAATGACTCTTTTATAAAATTATGTTTTACATTATGGAAACAATTTATACGTTATTTTATATTTACACTCTAGTGTAGTTGGCCTTTGCTCTATTTTCTTTATTATATATTATTTTTATTTTAGTTTTCATATTGATTGTTGATGTGACGGCCTAAGGCAGGTCGTTACAGAACGTGCCGTTCTAGACGTGCCAGAACGGGCTATTCTGATTTCATAATGAACCGTTCTGCATGTAAATTTTACACATGATGAAAGAGCCCAGAACGGGCCGTTCCGATTTTAAAACAGGCCGTTCTGGCCATTTTAGATTTCTATAAATAGAGGTTATGCAGTTGAGGAGAAGGAGAGGTTTTTAGAGAGAAGTTTTAGAGAGAATGACTCTGGACTAGGAAGCTTGCTTTGGGTGGATTGAAGTCCCGGGTTGAGCTTCGGAAAGGAAACTCCACTTCTTCTCAGTTCTTGGCTATTCTGAGCCAATCTTCAGGTAAGGGAAGCTAGATTGTATGTTGTTTGGTTGTATGTGAGTTTAGGAACTCATATGGAGTTTTATAATTACATTGAGATGTATGATGAGTAGAAAGTGAAACGAAGAGATGCATGTTGAGTATAGTGTTGTAAACTAAATGAGTAGTTGTGCCAAATAGAGAATGCGTTGAATACATGGTATGTTGCTAAAGTTGCTATATTTATGTGTGGATTATTTATATGTTGTAGAATATGATGAAATGATAATGTTGTGAGTTGTGAGAAGCATGATGTGAAATGTGTAGACGTGTTGAGATTTATACAAAATTTATTAGTAGACCATGTTGTTAAGTTGTTAGAGAAGAGTTGTATGTTGTTATAAAGTTGTATGTTGTGTCATGTGTTGAAAAGATATTATTTTATGATGATTGAGTTGTAAATTATGATTGAGCTAATGAGTTGTTGAATTGATTGTCTTGTTTAAAGTTGAAATGAGATGTTGTGTTGTTAAACTATGTTGTTGAAGTTGAATGTTGATTGAGATGATGAGTTGAAAAGTTGTATGTTGTTTAAGTTGTTAAGCTGATTAAACTGTTATGATGAGTTGTTGATCACTAGGACTAGGGGAGATGTTTTCGAAGTTACTTATCCCATTGTGTGGATTGAGATAGTTGTGGTGCTCTGAGAGCTCAATTTGTTGAAAAACCCTCCTTGGGAAGTTGTCCCTTGGAGTGGACGTTGTGTTGTTCTCCTCTAGGACTTAGTTGATCCTTGTGTGAGCAAGGTCGAGGCACACGTGTACAAAGCGACCATGGTATAGGGGTCAGGCCGAGCTATACCGATTACAAGCGGTCAGATGTTTATTGTTGTAAAGTTGTTATGGTGTCTATTGTTGTAAAGTTGAAAAATTGGGGACATATGGTGAAGATATATGTCCTATGTTGAGATACATAGTACTAAGGAGATAAGTTGAAAGTTGTTTTAAAGTTGAATCCCTTAGTACTGTGTGGGCGACATGGAAGTAGTCGATCCATGTCATGGTTGAATGACCAATTTGAGTAAGGTATCTAGTTAGAGATGTAGTCTTTGACTAGGTACTGGAGGGTGCGTGGTACTTGGAGGACAGTGGGTGGGCTAACTCCATATGTGGATTGGTGATGCTAGCCAAGGCCGTGGTAGGCTCATACCCAAACCCTTCTGTCCTGACAATAGTACTGGACCTCCGAGTCTAAGTGGCACACCTGAGCAATCGCCTATTGTTGTCTATACCTGGTTCTCTTCGGAGTTCCTAACGATGTTCTATACCTGACCTGGTTGAGATAGGTCAAACGCTAGATTTGGTAGGGTTTATGCCACGTACCTAGACTGCTCAACCTCAGTTGTTGGAGATCTCTGAGTTGAAATGCGTGACGACGCATAAGTTGTTGATGAGTTGATTTGTTGTTGATAAGAGTTGTATCTATGTTGTTATGTTGTTAAGTTGTGATTGTGTTGTATGTTGATCCTGTTGAGGATGATGATAGTGCTTTTATGTTGTAAGTTGCTTAATTGTATACAAGTTGATGATGATGCTAGTGTCGCTAGATTACCTGTGTTGTAAGTTGTTTTAAACATGTGTTGTTGAGAGGTGTGTAAAACATGTGTTGTTGAGAGGTGTGTAAAACATGTGTTGGTTGTTGTTATGCTGAATATGATAACTATTCCAATGGTTGTACAATAGTTGTGTTGAGGTGTTGATACAACGTTGATATGTGAAATCAAGTTGAAATGATGTTAAGATGTATATTATATGTGTTGTTTATCTTTTGTGTTGGATTTGAAGATGATTATATAGTTGTTTCATATTTAATATTTATGAGTTGTTTATTGTCTCTAGATTACTCTTGCGTGTTTCCATGTGGTTTGGATTGCGATGATCATACATTGGTATGAGAGCAGGGCAGGGATAGGCTAGGAGATAGCTACTAGAGGCCACAGGAGGTGCTTGGAGATGCATATTTATTTTGTAGGCTACCTTATAGTAGCATATTTTATTGTATATAACTGGTTGTTATTGGTTGCTTAATTAACAACTTGTGTTGTAAATATTTTATTATACTATTTTAGTATATATTTTTCAGTAGTGTGTTGTGTTGTTTCGTAGTGTGACGACCACGGCCAGTCGTTACATATAATAAATAATTTATATCGAAATAAAAAATTGTTTTAAAATTATTAATAAATTCATAAATGATTACGATAAATAAAAAATTAAATTATATAAAAAATTAAGGGAATCCCTACAAACTTCTTTATTGAAGAAAAAAAATCATAAAAACACACTCGTACAAGATAATGGTTTGTGTTTAATAAATAAGGATTAATGTTGTTCGATGACATCTCACTACGTACTAATTAAGTGATATGATATTTAATGACGTGATAAATAAAAATAATATTAAAAAAATAACTTTTGTCAACTAAATTACACCGTTAGAAAAATTAATCAATTTAATTAAAAGTATTAAATTTGTCAATGATTTAAATCACTTTTTCAAAATTAGCCTTAACATCATTTAAATTAATAAACTTTTTTCTTTCCACTTGATCATTTTCCACATAATCAATGTTTGCAAGAGAAATATCTATAACTATGTGTGCATTTGATTTTTTTTTTTCAATCTTAATAAGAGATATTCAAACCTTATTAAGATTAATACGCGAACTAAAACACAATAATTGCATTAACTTATGGCACGAATAAAACACAATAATTGCATTAACTTATGACATATTTAAACCTTACATGCATATATAATTGATACACATAATGTTGCATAAATTCATGAGAAGCAGGCGACGTAATCTTACGGAGTTGTTTAATCTCTATAAGCCTTGTCGCGGAATAAAAACGGAGATATTAATTAATGAAGAAACAGGCACAATTACAAAGACATTTATTTGTGAATGACGCCATTCACTGAAGTTTCTGTTTTCTTCTCAACGAAGCCACTGATGAGTGGAGCTTCTGCAGGTTTAGGAAGAAGCCCTTTCTCTCTGCATGACTCAACTGCTCCGATGTACATATCCTCTAAGCTATATTTGAATTTGAATCCCAAGTCCGTGATCTTCTTCGAAGAAAATCTCACAAGCTCCAATTCTTCTGGAATATTCTTGAACCTACAATTACTCCAATTCCATGCTTAATTTTATGCATTCTTTATTAACAACTCTGATATTTAATTACTTTAGTCACACATTTTTTTATTATTCAAATTACTCGGTTTTTCGAATTTCTCGTTCAACTTTTAAAATGTTATATTTTGTCGTTTAATTTTTAAATTTCTCCACATCGTATTAATCTCATTAATTAGTCGTCTTTCTCTATTAATAATATATATATATATATATATATA